CCAGCCCCAAGAAAGACTTTAAATGTGGAAAGAACAGTATTATTCAACCAATTATTTTACCACAGGCTATTAAAAGACACTAAGACATACATTAATTTAGAAAGAGACTGCCTAAGAAATATGCTAGCACGTCCCTGTGCACCTTGGCATGTGCTGACTGAGGAATGCCACAAAAGTCACACCCAACTCAACAGATCGAACCCAAGATCATGCAAGAGATTTATTAGGCAAAGGGCTGCCTTGGAGCAGGGACAAGAGAGAAAGAGACAGAGGCGGGGTGGAGGGGGCAAGGAGGAGAGCAAGAAAAGACAGAGTAAGTGTCAGAAACAGAGAGGGGGACAGAACGAGAGAGTGGGTCTTGACGGCAGGGACCTTTTTAAAGAGTACATGTCATATTTGGACCTTGGTGACATGACTAATGGTGCTGAGTCCCTGAAGCAAGCTGGGGAGCACCTGATTTTTTAACATCTGTAATCCCAGAACTCGGGGCTAAAGCAGGAGCACCTAGGCGTCAAGACTAGCCCCAGCTACCTGGTGAGTTCAAGATCTGCCTGGGTTATAGGAGACCCTATTTCAAAAAAAAAAAAAAAAAAAGAGGAGGAAGTAGTAGCTGTTGCTTCACTATTAGAAAGAAAGCCTTGTTCATTCCAACAAAAGAAAGTGGCCATTCCTGAAGTACCTCACATTACTAAGGGGCTATATGGAGAACAGAAATAGTTCTTACTTTTATCATATTGAGCAACATACTACTGGTCCTTGTACATAAGAGATCAGACTAATCTAAGCGCTTAGGACACTTAATGTACCTTTTGAGCTCAGCAAATTTAGACTAGAACTACTCATTGCTACATGCAGGCAGGACAGCAATATGACATTCTGTTCCTTTCCCGGGTCGTCTGGGTCTGTCTCATAGTGCATAGTGCATCTGCCCTCTACAAAGAGTTAATGCAAAGGTTCTAAGGCCTGGAGTAGGGAGGCAGGCAGAGAAGGCCCCACATGGATACTATATCAAAGGAAGCCCAAGAACTAGTAATGTAGACATTTCCTATGATATATACATAGATGAAAGGAATTTAAATGAAGTCACCATATAATAGGAGAGAAAATGCCCCAAATGGACATCTTTTTTTTTTTTTTTTTTTTTTTGGTTTTTTTTTTTTTTCGAGACAGGGTTTCTCTGTATAGCCCGGGCTGTCCTGGAACTCACTCTGTAGACCAGGCTGGCCTCGAACTCAGAAATCCGCCTGCCTCTGCCTCCCGAGTGCTGGGATTAAAGGCGTGCGCCACCACCGCCCGGCCCAAATGGACATCTTATATCACTAAGTAAACCTCTGGCCAGGAATGGGCTCCATATGGTTGAGTCATTGACCAAAGGGGTCCTATGGACCACCCCACCACTTTCCAATCAGGCTACTGTCAAGGTTTCTGGTTACTCTCCATAATCTGATAGTAAGGCCTTATTGCTGAATACACAACTTACTTATGATATTGAACACTGAGAAATCAAGCTGGCGCCCAACTAGAAACTGCACCCCTATTGACCAGCATGCGTGGTGCTGGGAGGTGCACTGCATGCTCCAGAAGTGAAGTGATCAGGAACATCACCCAGCTACAAACCCTGTGACCTACAACAGAGCTGCCTGCAAGACAGACTAGGGCATGAGTGGCACAGTGCTACCAGAGTAACCAACCACTGTCTGGTTGGATTTAAGGCCCACTCCATGAGAAGGAAGCTGCACCTGACACTGCCAACCCGGCCAAGAACCTGAGCCTCAGGTCACTGGCCTAGGAAAAGCAGATTACTACTCTTCTGCTGAAGGAAATAGCAACAAAGTATCTCCTCCACCTACTGATCAGTGCAGTGTATTGTTGAGTCCTCCTCAGAAAGGCTTCTTCTGGTAGACGGGAATTAGGAAAGGCGCCTACAGCTGGACAGTGTGCAGAGACTGAGAGACGTTGGAGCACCCGGCCCTAAGGATGTCTGTATCAAACCCCTTCCTATGAGGCTCAAAAATGACTAAGTGGTGACAGAAAGATGACAAGAGTTAGAGATGATGGAGGCTCCAAGGAAACAGTACCTTCCAGACAAAACAGCACTAATAAACACAGAAACTCCCAGAGACTGAGATATCACACATAAGACCAGCACAAGTTCAACCCACACAAAATCCCGGCACTGAAAAGGGAAAGTAGACAAAAAGCCCCACCCCTACCTAAGAAGATATATGCTACCTGCTGGGATAGGGAAAAAATCAGTTTTCTCCAATGGAGTGAGTGTCACTGGTTATCTTAACATCATCATCATCATCATCACCACCACCATCATCATCATCATCATCAGTTTTTCCAGACAGGGTTTCTTTGTATAGCCTTGGCTATCCTGGAACTTGCTCTATAGACCAGGCTGGCCTTGAAATCAGAGATCAGTCTGCCTCTGCCTCCTGAGTGCTAGGATTGAAGGCCTGCATGCATCTGCACTGTATTTTGTTTGTTTGTTTTATTGGTTTTCTTTCTTAGCTTATCTGTTTTGATTTTCATTGTTCTGTTGTTTCTCCTGTTTTTGTTGTTGTTTCTTTTGGGGTTTTTTGGGGGGAGGCTTGGGGAGGTTTCAGAGATAGAAAGAATATGAAGTTAGGTAGAGATAGGGAGACTCTGGGAGGAAACAGAGGAGGGACAAGACTATATTGTATGAAAAAAATTTAAATAAAAAATTAAATGTATATATTGTGTAAAATTCTCAAGTAAATAAAAAAATTAAATGAAAGAAAAACCCCTACAACAACAAACCTCACCTACTAATGTTATAGCTGGAGAGATAGGGATGGTTCAGTGATTAAGAACACTGGCTGTCCTTCCAGGGGACACAGGTTCAATTCCCAGCACCCGAATGTGGTTCACAAATATTTGTAACTTGTTCCAGAGGATACAGCATTCTCTGTCCTAGACCCCACAAGCCTCATGATCCGAAAGGTAAAATGAAACTCGAGTCAGTACCATCTTTACGGGCACTGCATCAAAACTCCCCGAGTCAGACCTCAGGGTTGACTCTTCTTACACATAAGCACAGCGAACTTTGGGGAGAGGTTTCCATGTGGCAATTATCACAGAGCTTCAGGCATAGCTACACAGAACCTGGCTGGCAAAGTAGACGGCGCCTGTGAGCTGTAGAATAATAATGAGTTCTACTGACAAACAGTGCTCAGGGCAGGAACTCAGGGAGGACGTCTGTAATAAGCATAAGGAGAAATCTGTTGGTGGAGGATGCTAGTGCAAGGGACCACGTTCATAAGGATGGGTTCTATTCACCAAGAGACAAAGCTTAGGGTCTAAACAAGCTCGGGATGTTGGGGGAACTCAGGTGGAGGCTGGCGCTTAACAGAATAGTAAATGATGACCAGTTTGTTGGACCGCTTACACAGTGCCATTCCAGGTGACCAGACGTCATTCATTTTCTTCCTTTGAAGAAAATAGGCCCCTGTGATTGACAATCTTGATAATCCTGGCTTCTCCAATGCTTACTCTAAGCGATGCACACTACATGTCTCTACAGAACCAAGCTACCCTCAAGATAGTAGAGAAGTAGAGAAGACAAGTGTTAGCAGGAAGCTAAGTATACCCTATGGCACTTACAAGCTATAGAACTTATTTTCACACACAGATACAAACAATATGACAGCTTAATGTATTATGGGAAGACACACACACAAAAAGCCTTAAGCCTTAACCCATAAATATGCAAGTAAGTCATATGTGAAATACAGCTTCTTACGGCCACGTAGTTAATTCTCAGTCATACACACTAAGGAATTGTTCCAGAATGAATACATTTACTTCAATTTATAGGTCCCTTGTGAGGCTCTTTCCCTATAATCCATTTCCAAGTCCCCAAGAGACCCCTGGGGTCTCTTCCCTTCACGCTCTTACAAGGTGAACTGAACTCACATTTATTCTTTCAAGTGCTTTGTTGGGCAGGAGAACCCCCCTCTCTCTGTATTTACACTTTCGGACGTCTGCAGGAATTCTTTCCTACATATGCCCTGCTACGCCTCTAAGGTAATGTGATCATTTGTTGTCCTTCCAGCAACCCCCCTCCCTTTTTCCTTCCTTTTTTTTTTTTGAGATAGGATCTCATGCATGCTATGGTGGTCTCAAACTCAATATGTAGCCAAGGTTAGCCCTGAACAGCTGAAGCACCTGCTTGCACCTCCCAAGTACTTAGATTATAAGTATGGGCCGCTAAGTCTAACTTCCAAACAAAATTTTTTGAACATCTTATCCTCTCTATTTTGGTCAGTGATATATAGGTAATTTAAAGTTGAACCACTGTAAGGATTGCCACTCATTCAACACCCAAATTACACTTTTGGACCATGGGTTCTTTAAAGTATGAGATTCAGTCAACACATTACACATATTTTAAATATTTGTTTTTATCATTACTCTGAAAAGATTGTGTGTGTCAGTGTACAAGCATGCGCACAAGAGCGTGAGTGGCCACAGAGGCCAGAAGGAAACGCTGGATCTCCTGGAGCTGGAGTTACAGGGAGTTAGCTGTGAGCTGTCTGACAAGGATGCTAGCAATTATACTTGCATCTTCTGTAAGATCAGGAGATGTGTTCTTAACTTCTGAGCTATCTCTCCAGCCCCAGATAACATCTACTTTAAAATTACCAAAATGATCCTGAAATTTTTACATTGTCCCGCCTTCCCTCTTCAGCCCAGCTACTGGTTGTCAAGTCTTTATTAAACCAATCAGCGAGTGAGGAAGGTGTATCTTTACAAAATACTGAGGCAGGTGATGAGCCATAAGAATAACAATACCAGTACTCACCTCTGTGCTACAGAACTAACAATCGAATAAGACAAAGACAATCTTCACACAGCGCACCCCAACAGTTCAGCTTAACAAAAAACGCAACAGCTTAACTCTGGCTCAATCAGTAGAATGTTTGTTTAGTTACACAAAGCCCTCAGTTCAATACTTAGAACTACATACATACACTGGCGTGGTGGTGGAGGGCAGGGCGATCAGAAGCTCAAGGCCATCTTCAGCAGACTGGGACACACACATCTCTGTCTCAAAACAAAATGGTATTTCTTAAAAAGAAGGAAAGGAAAAAGAGACAATGGGGAAAAGAAAAGGCCACATAAAGAGAACAGATTTCAGGGCAGGGAGGTGGAGCACTGCCCTCTGCTCCTTTCCCAGAGGAGACAAGACGAGGTCCGGAACAAGGGAAAGCACTCAGTGAGCACTCAGAGTTTGATTGGCTAAAAGCATTTCCTCTGGGCCAATGAGATGGCTCAGTAGGCAAAGGCTCCTACCACCCAAAAAGAAGACGTGAGTTCAGGAAGTATAAAGCCAACTCTCCAGGCTGTCCTCTGCAATCCACACATACACACACACACACACACACACACACACACACACACGCACGCACACACGCACATACGCACATACACACAAAGAAATGCAAATTTTTTTTTTTTTTTTTTGGTTTTTTGTTTTTTCGAGACAGGGTTTCTCTGTGTAGCTCTGGCTGTCCTGGAACTCACTTTGTAGACGAGGCTGGCCTCGAACTCAGAAATCTACCTGCCTCTGCCTCCCAAGTGCTGGGATTAAAGGCGTGTGCCACCACCGCCTAGCATGAAATGCAATTTTTAAAACACATAATTTTTCTTCACCAAGAGGAAGCTGCTTCTCCATGCGCCCATAGGATGTAGCAGCCAGCCAAAACCAATTTAAATTCACGCCTCACTGTACAGGAATGGAGAGACAATGTCTAGCTCATCTTGAAAAAGATTTCACTTAGTTCTGATTAAGAAACTGTACAAGAGCTAGAGAGACTGGTCAGTGGTTAAGAGCACTAGCTGCTTTTCCACAGGACCGGGGTTCGAATCTCAGAGGGAGACTCATTACTGTCTGTAACTATAGTTCTGGGGATCCATCACTCTCTTTAGCTTCCAATGACATCCAGCACGCATGTGGTACACATAGAGGCAAAATAACACTCATTCATATAAAAAGTAAAATGAGTAATTTTAAAAATTAAAAAATAGAAACAGTAGAAACCGAGCAGTGCCAGTCACAGCCTTCTTATGTCACAATAGAACTGAGTGGGTTTGATCTACAGCAGGCAATTTATGAACTCATGCATAATATTTTAAACTTGGTAAAAAGTCCGCAGCTGGGAAGCTCTAGGCCCTAGGAGGAACCTACCACTGCTCTTTGCAAAATGGACATGTTACTAAATTGCCTTTTAAATAAGTAATATTGAGTTCCAGGCCAACCAGAGCTACATGAGACTCAGAACAACAAACCCTAACAAACCCCTCTGTATGAAATGATTTAGCAGCACCTCCAGGACATGGAGCCACAAGCCTATAACCCTGACACTTGGGAGATACACCAGGAAGAACAGGAGCTTGAGGACATCCTTGGCTATACAGCAAATGTGAAGTCCATGAGATCTTATCTCAATGAAACTCAGTGCCTGTGAAATTCATATCTGCCATCTGTTAAAAAAAAATACATGAAAACACACATTCAGCTTTGACTTCTTTTAAAATTTTTACTTCTTAGCCAGGCGGTGATGGCGCATGCCTTTAATCCCAGCACTTGGGAGGCAGAGGCAGGTGGATTTCTGAGTTCGAGGCCAGCCTGGTCTACAGAGTGAGTTTCAGGACAGCCAGGGCTACACAGAGAAACCCTGTCTTGAAAAACCCAAAAATAAACAAACAAACAAACAAATTTATTTCATTTCTTTTACGTGTGTGTGTGTTTTGCCTGCATGTATGTACAAGTATACCACATGTGTGCAGTATCCTCAGAGGCTAGAAGGGGGCACTGGATTCCTTTGGAGTCATATACAGATATTAGCCACCATGTGGGTGCTGGAACCGAACCCAAGTTCTCTGGAAAAACAGCGAGTGTTTTATTAGCCACCATGTGGGTGCTGGAAACGAATCCAAGTCCCCTGGAAAAGCAGCGGGTGTTTTAACAGCTGAGCCAGTTTTTGAGACTCACATTAGACTTTTTAAAGAAACCCTGAGTTAATTCTACACACTGACAGAGGAGAAAAGAAGGAAGCAGTGTGACAGAAAGTTCATGTTTCAAGGCAAAAATGGTCACTAGAGTAACTGTTCTGTTCTTTTCTTGTGAAAGAGTATTTTCACTGTTTTTTTTTTTTTTTTTTTTTTTTTTTCTACTTTTTTTTTTTTGAGACAAGGTCTCGAATAGCTCAGGCTGGTCACAAACTTGCTATGGACAACTTAAGTTTCTGATCCTCCTGCCTCTACGGCCCCAGAGCTGAGATCGTGGGCCTGCATCACCACACCCAGCTTTATGTAGTGCTGGATCAAAGCCAGGCAAGTACTCTACCAACCTTTACACTCCTAGTCCCATTATTTTTCTCTTCAAAAAATTTTTTGAAAAAATAAATCAACTAAGTATGGTCACACTTGCACTGAGGAGGTAAAGCCAGGAGAATCAGAACGCAGTTCTAAGTAATCCATGGCTACCTAGAAAGTTTGAGGGCAATCTGGTCTACATAGGATGTTGTATAAGTAAATGATTATTTTATTTTGTTGTAGAATCTATAGAGTACAGAACAGTAAAGAGCCCCCTACTTCCTTCTATACCTTTCATCTAGCACAACTGGAATACTCAAAGTTATTAGAAATGGAGACATCAGTTGCACATATCCTATTTGAGAATGGACAGAATGCTGGAAGTCCTCAAATTCCTCCCTCCCACCCTCCATGCTGTATCAAACAGTTTCTGGACTTGGCGCCAGCTCCAGGGCCAAACCCAGATGACCCTAATCCAATACCAGCAATCCTACTCCTTCCAGCAGTAACTGGCTCAGAGGTTTAGTCTGCACGAGCATCCTTGCCCGACGACAAGCGGTTCACCTCCAGAGTACCACCTCCAACATGAAGCAAAGCCAGATGATGAAAGCAACTTCATAAACGCTCAACATTTCCTGACTATTTAGCTACCTCAGGATTTTCAAAAGAGACAGAAGTAACTTTAACATTTATTATGATGTTGATGATGATTCAGGGGCTCTGAGACAGATTCTGATTTCATAGCCTAGATTGGCTGGAACTTGTTTTTTTGTTTGTTTGTTTGTTTTTGATTTTCGAGACAGGGTTTCTCTGTGTAGCCCTGGCTGTCCTGGAACTCACTCTGTAGACCAGGCTGGCCTCAATCCACCTGCCTCTGCTTCCCAAGTGCTGGGATTAAAGGTGTGCACCACCACTGCCCGGCTAGGCTGGAACTTGTGATGTAGCCGAGGCTGGCCTCATACTCCGTTGCCACAGCTGCCCTAGTTAATGTTTACAGATAATCCAAGTCTTGGTATGTTGCTGATGCAAGGCAGCTTTCAAAAGAGAAAATCAGGAGCAGAGTTTTTAGAAGTCAAACTTACTCACTATTAGATGGAGGAACTCTGATCTTCTTTTATTTGCTCAGTTCCTACTCCTCCTTTTAACTATTTAAAATAAAGGGAGGAAAGGAGAGAGGGAAGGATCTTAGAAAGCTCTTTATAATAATGCTTCCCTGGTGCTAAAGAAAAACAAAAACAAGCCACTAAAATGATATCTTTTTAAAACTTTACATAGAATTCCATCTGTCAAGCTTCTGAATATTCCAACAATGCATACGTGTTTTTAAATATATGATACAATCAACATGGTTCAAAATTCAAGACTCCTTATCTATTGTTTTGGAATATTTATATCTCCAAGCCTCTTTCCTTTCCCCAGGAGGCAGTAAATATCACTAGTTTCTTATGAGTATTTTCAGAAGCTGTCAACTTGGAATTTAATGTAAATATTACAGGGAACTATTTTTAGCTCAATAAAAACCTGCCAGTGTGTTACAATAAAAAAGCAATAGCTTTATAAAACAATTCTTTCAATTTCAAACTCTGGTCTGGCACAAGAAGCAAGCAGCACAGAAGAATCTCCTTTCCCTAAACACTTACAAGCATTACTGAGACAAAGCCAAAACAAAATCTCAAGAATTCTCCCTAAGAAGTCAGCTGAGGGATAGGTAGGAAGTCCCAGAAGACTCAGGCATAAACATTCACATACTCTACCAGTGCAGAGCTCCAAAGGCTACTGTTTCTTCAAGGCCCTCAGGCAAAGTGTGAGAGATGAGAAGCAGTCAGAGGAAAGCAATGACTTGGGACTTAGCAGAGTGGGACGTGGTACAGGGACATTCGCTAGGATCTCAGCAGAGACTCTGCCAATGGAAGAGATGCATGGCACATCTGCATCAGATGACAACAGGCAGGTAAGACTTCACCACCTTTTCTTTGCCTACCTGCTGGTTGGCCACAGAGAACTTAAGGATGAATGGCAGAGCCCACTGAAAGCACGAACTTAACTGAACTGTTAGTTCATCAACTTTGTCCATGTATTTCCCATGTGGTAAAGAGAACCAACAAAAGCTGGCCCCCAAACTATGATATCTCTAACTTTTAATAGTACCCATTACTTAAAACAACTCAGACCCAGGGCTGAAGAAATGCTGGGCAAGGGAGGACAGGCTTGTCACCCCCATGTTGGGGAAGCAAAATAGGAAGATCCCTGGGGCCCAAGGGCCAACCAGTCAGTCCAGCCCAACTGGCGAGCTCTGGTCCAGTGAGGGACCCTGTCTTAAAGCAGGTGGTTGGTGTTTCTCAGGATGACACCTGAGGTTATCAACTCTAGCCTCCATTTGTGCACATACACAAACACACAAACACACACATACATGCCCTCATAAACATGCCTGCACATCCATATACAAAGGCATTCATTTTTTAAAGAAAAAAGAAACTCAAACTTTCAAACTACAACCCTGGGTTAAAGACGTAGCTCAGCTGGTGTCTGCCTACTGTGAATGAAGAGCTTTAGATATATACTGAGTTCTAGGCCAGCCTAGGCAACAAGAGAGCCTGTCTCAAAACAACAAAACAAAAATAAAATGTAAAACCCTACTGTACTAAATAGCTGACCTGCTGGTGGTGGGGGCACATGCCTGTGAATGCCAGCACTCTAGAAGCTGAGGCAAGGCTAGCACAAGTTCCATATCAGCTCGCTTACAGAGAGACCCTGCCTTAAAAAATGTGGAAGCAAAG